GTATTTGAATTCTTCAATCCGACATTGGCCTGATTTACAATCAGTCCAATGTGGAATTCCAGATTGGACGCGTCCAATGTGGGATCCTAGATTGGCCTAGGCCAATCTCAGATTGGACGTGGTCCGACATTGGCCGCTAACATATATATACACGTGCATATATCTACGGAAGATGATACTAGTTTCGATGTAGACAATTGTGTAAATAGGTGTATGATGATAAATATTAAAACTTAGTTATTTCAACAATTAAGAATAAAATACAAAGATGAATGAAGAATTCAAACATGTGATTCATTCTTTGGTTTAGCCGATTGTTAAAAAAATATTCGTGTTATTCACTGATTTTATGGAAAAACCTCCTAATTTTGCTCCTGTGGTTTCAGGAAAAACTCTTCTGGTCATATTCCGATTTGTTACAGAACAGAAAAAGATGATTCTTCCATGAGATTCGAAGAACCATGCACCTTCTGAAATCCCGGCAGATATACTACCATTATACTCGAAAGCACTGTTTGTATATATTTCCTTTCATAGGATTGTAGTTTAATACTACAATCCTAAGAAATATACAAGCGAACATTTTTTCTTCGACTGTCACATTTAAGTTTCTGACTCATACGCAGAATTGTCTTTTTAAAATACAATAATAAATGATTAGATTAATATTTACCAACAATTCAACATACCCCACGAAAAGTTCTTAAAGGCAGGATGATAATCAGCTAATGTACGAGCATTATTCTTGTCAGTTGTATTCATTGTTTTATTTTGATTTATTGATATTAATAGTTGGTGGCAGTGGCGGATCCAGAAAATCTGTTAGGAGTGGCGCTCCTGGCCAAAAAACAGTTTTTCAAGTCTATTTGAGGCAGAACGACTATTTTCTGTTTCATTTCTGCTGGGGAAAATCGAAAAAAATTTCTTAAGGTGAGTGGCGATCGCCGGGTGGCCTAACTGGTAGATTCGCTACTGCTTCATTGATCTTGAGAAAAGAAATCCTTCAGACGAATTTGTTGAACATCGATCGAAAGAATTTTCAAGTGAAAGATTTCGATCAACTAGTGAAGAAAATTGCGATGAAGAGAAAAGTGATTCGATTGTGTTCTTTTTCATTTTGATCGACATCTTTGACAAGTTTTGAAAACAAATTTATCTCCAATTGAAAAAGATTTCTTTCATCGTCGGATCGAATTGAAAAACAACGTTTTCTTGATCAGATAACGAATTGATTAACTGCGATGAAACGTCAAATATCTTCTCTTCTCTTCTCCACTCGATTGATTGATTTTCTATTAGTCGGGAGATTTTTGGAGAAACTATGAGAATACTTGTGTCAGAAGATTTTACTGAGGAAAAAGAGATCTTCTTTCTGATTGATCTCTTTTTTGTACAGAATTCGTTGATCATCTCTAGAGAATCAAAGGATTTCTAATTGAAGAAATTTAATTGGAAGAACTGATTTCTCTCTTGGAAAAGACTTCAATCGATAGATTTCATTTGGAAATATGCAATCGGATGGATTTGATATCAAGTGTGAAAGAGATCCCATCGATTGCTTTGTTGATGGATTGATTTCATTGAAGTTGAATATTCTTGTCGATGTTCTCTTTCGTTCATTTCTCTAGCTATTCGTTCATTCGTTTTTCGAATCCATCGATAAGATAATGAAGATTAATTTGAAGAAATGTCTTCCTTAATTGATGTGTTTAATCATCAATAGAAATGAATTGATCAATAGGAAAACATTGTTCATCGTTACTTGAAAAGAACAATTGACTGAGAATAATCTTTGCAGGCAGTTTCGAGGAGCAAAAGAATTTCTTCAATGTTTTGACCGATTGAATCCAACAATGTTTGTCGAAGAAAAAAATCAATGATTAAATTTCTTTTCTCTCGTCCTTTGGTCAAATTTGAACGAATATCACTCGAAATTTGTTTTAAGCGAGATCTTTTCATTGAAATTTGCTGTCTTGAAAGGATTCTTTTCTTCAATGGGAAAAGGTGCGTTCAATCGATTTCGACAAAGACAAACATTTTTCTTTCGATTGTAGTTTCTAGAAAAGGCCGATTAGTTCGAAGAGATGATCACATTGACTTGATCAGTCGATCAAATCGAATATGATTTCATTGAAGATCGTGGAATGTTTCTCCATTGTCTTTCTGTTGATCCATTGGAATGATCTTTTTCTCGGTGTTCATGATCATTCGATGACATTGGTCATACGAGATCAATTCGATTCTAATTAGCTTCTAGAAAAGATCTTTAATCTTATTCTATATTTAAATTCAACTTGTTATATTTACTCATCAGATGTTTTTTCCTTTCAATAAATAGTAAATTTTTCTTTTCTTTCAAATAGTTTTTTCAACTGATGTAATTATAAAAAAAAGAAAAGAAAACAAACACACACTAATAGTTTATATTTACAATAATATACATAAATACAAATTATTCATATATGTTCATGATAAATTTTAATCGAATTGTCGAATTCGGCCACATTGATTTGATTCTAAATTATATATTTTCTTCTTCAATTCTAGTATCTATTCGGAAGCCTTTGGCGCAATCGATGCTCATTGCGTTGTATCCGGTAGACTATGTCACGAATCAGTTGTTTGTGAAGACCTTGGCCAAGTAATAGAAGAAATTGATACAACAGAATTAGACAATCTTATTCTTTGTGATCATCAATCAATTCCATTTACATATGATCATTGACTAAATTCATGTTTGTTTTTACACATGCATTTTGATTTTCGTTTTCTTTAATAAATACACACAAGTTACAAGAAATAGATGTGTCTATGATATAATAAAATAAATCATCATTCGCGATCTTTGCTGCAGTTCTATGAGAGTATAATATAGCGCAAAAAAAAACAGAAAAAGAAAAGAAATACTAGTGGTCTCTATATAAAAGCTTCTTGTTCATTGAGCCCCTTTGTTGGCATTGTTTCTGGTAGAACAGTTGCGGTTTTTGTTTTTTGCTCAGCAAGATATGCTTGACGTCGAAATAATAACCACCAACATGCATAGATTGGTATAGGTAATGTTGATATTGCACTAATAGTCCACCCAGCAATACTTACTCTTAATGCAGTATTTCCTTCACCAAATGAAGAAAATTCTTGACTATCAAATTGAATAAATGAGCAAACATAAAGAATAAGAAGTATCAATGGTGCGACATAACGGCAAGTTATACGCCAATAAATACTTGGCTTGTGTCCAGTCATCGTTTCAACGTCACTACTAAATCTATCGATCCCATATAGCCATACAGTTGCAATAAGTTCACATAGAACTACAAACATTATTGATGGTGATGTACCAAAAAAATCCATAAAATGAACAATATATTTTCCACCATGTGTTAATGTTGGTATTGATGCTAAAAATGGGACTAATACAACACATGCACGTGATAAACGAGGACGACGAGCTAATATTGGAAATTCATCAGATATTGCTGTATAAATACTTTCTGCACCGGCAAATACACTATCAAGTCCCAATGTAAGAAGCATGATAAAGAAAAGGATGGAAAAAAATGGTGCACCACGTATGGATGTTAAAATTTCTGGATAAACAACAAAAACAAGACCCATATTACTCTCAGTAAATTGTCGTACATCACTATGTAATCGATGTGATAAATAGCCTAAACCAGCAAATACAACTGTACCATATAATAAACTAGTACAACAGTTAACAAAACTAGCTATTAAAGCTGTACTAGATACATTATCATGTGTATTACTAAAACTTGCATAACTTAGTAGAACACCAAAGCCAGGTCCTAAACTAAAAAATATTTGTACAGCAGCTGCTTGCCATACTGAATATTCACTTAAACGTGTAAATGATGGTGCTACATAATATTTTAAGCCTTCGAGTATTCCATCAAGTGTTAACGAACGTAATAATAAAATAATTAATACACCATAGGGTACTAATGCTGTAAACCATATTGCTTTACCAGCTGTTTTAACACCTTTAAAAATTGATGCATAAATGAGAAAAAAAACAATCATTGAACATCCAACCAGTTCCCATTGTAATGAACCTAATTGATTAATACTGGGTGATAAATGAGATTTAAGCATACGCCGTTCATAATATTCATCTGTTGATGAACACGATGCATTATGTGCAACTTGCAATGCTCCTTTATTATGTAAAGAATAGCATAAGGGTGTATTCCATTCGTTGTCACAAAATGTCCATGGTACAATAAAACGAAATGATGCTATACAATAATGAACCGACCATGCAATAATTGTATTATAATATGATAGAACATATAAATTGATGATTAACATTGAATAGCCAATACCTTTCAATGGTGGACATATTTTATTCCATATTGTTATGTAGCCGAGACGATGATATTGTCCGATAGCCAATTCCAAATACATACCTTTTTAGGAAGAAAGAAAAACAATCGATCATTTTAAAAAGAAAATCTATTGCAAGACATAACTTACATGGAAGACCAACAAGAAATAAGAAAGTAAAATACGGAACAAGAAAAGCTCCACCACCATTTCGATAGCATGTTGTTGGAAAACGCCAAACGTTACCTTCAAAGAAATAAAAACAGTTGAAATTTCTATATATAATCTTTTATATACAAGAAACATAATTTCTCACTCTACTTATTTTTCATCAGTATGAAAAAATCATACAGAAACTTTCTATCTACTGAAAACGTTTGTTTATTATTATTGATTTGGAAAAACCCTCTCAGATGATCCTATTTCACATAATACATTATCTGATAATTTCTCTAAATATTTACAATTGAAACTGTATTTCGTAAAGAAAAAAAATGAATTTTTTCATCTTCTTTTTTTTTTTGTATCAAAAATAGAAGACGAATATTCTAAGTTCTACATAGTATCAAAGTTAGAATGTAAGATAGAACTATTTTTTACAGTTTAAGTACTTAGATTTTTCTTCAGTAAAATGATCATTCATATAAGCCACATTTGAATTATTTATTCAAAAATAATGCATGAATGAATTTCTATTAGATATTTTATGTATTGATTTCAAATATACAATGTTTCAAAAATTGTTCAGTCTACTTAAAATATTTAAAAACAAAACTTTACCGAGATCGACAACGAATCCAATAATTGATAGAAGATAAACAATACGATTACTCCAATTGTCACGTTCACGCGGCTTCATTATGTTGTTTGTTACTTGAACTATTGCTGATGATGTTGTTGGTGGTGAAACAAACATATTCTTTGTTTCTAGTGAATGAGAATCTTTTGAAATGAGCATTGGTACATATTGTTGATCATTGTTGTTCGTCGACATGTATCTACCGATGTAGATTTAACCAGGATTATTATTGACTTGTTCCATGATCGATGATGTTTCTAGAGAAAAAGTATATATTTCATTAAGAAAACAGATCTGTCATTCAACAACGACCTTATCTAGATTTGTATACATCTCTCTATCTGTCTTTTTTTGCACTATGGATAACAATATGAAACAGATATAAAAGATTTTTCAATAATCATAGAGACGTATTCTCTTCTCATTGAAATGTAAACTTTGATTCCAATAATTATAGGATCTATTTGACTACTTTAACCTTTTCAAGTCTAGACTAGGTGAAAAGGTTGCTCATCTCTAGTTTTCATTATCGTGTTATTACTAACACGGACGAACACATGATTGTATACAGATAGATATTATCGACAGAATACTATCACAATTATTTTGATATAAAAAAGAAATTTATCTGACGCGTGTCCTTACTATTTTTCTAGTTTTTATAACTACGAAAATGTGATAACCTTATTACTATGATCACTATCACATTAGTTCATAGGCTCATATTATAGTTCTGATAGTATTCGAACGATCTAATCTATTCTTTTTCTCTTCTCTTTTAATGATTTATCTGAGTACGAAATCTAAATTTATATATTCTTCAGCTACCTGTCTCGTCGTATTTGATATGACGTGCGTTGAACAGTCTGTCAATTCTCTATCGAATATTTATATCTGTTGTCGAGAATATTTCCGAATCAACTTGACATGGACGTATGTAATTGCATATCTCAAATCTCAATATGTTATTTCTGACATTTTATAATGACCGATCAATTAATTGAGTATACATTATCTATGGAATGGATGCATTGCCGGCATCTTATATTCTTTCCGCAAATACAAACGAGCATCCTCTGCTTTTCTAACTGGCAGGGAAAAGAAAACAATTTTTAGTCTATGAAGATTTTCGTTAAAAAAAGAAGACTGCGCGTTGTCGCTGAAAAATCTTATATTGACTCACTTAGTTAGACTCATTCAATTAGTAGAGAGCATGCAATCTTGCTTTTGAATGAGAAGATAAATGAATTGCGACCTGTATTCATTTTTATTATTTAAAAGGTCTAAATTTAGTTTCGACTAATGACGTATGAATAGTTTAACCGCAGGAATTTCCTCTCAATTTGATAAACAGCAGGATCTTTTCTTATTATTGTTACTCTTTCTCCTGTTCGTCTACGCACAACTGAGCTGTGGGTGTTATGTACTTACGCATTAGTATGAATAAGTATCAAGTTTTGTTTTCTAATTGATCTACGTAAAGCGAGACGGAAAAAAAGAGTTACAGGATGTAAAAGAATCAGGCATTTTTGTTTTGTTTAACTTCTTCCATGTTATCGAACTTCTATCAGATATGATTCAAGTTCAGCCATTTGAAGTTGGTGTCACAGTTATGTAGAGGGTGAATGCAACCTTATAATGACTAGAGAACAGCAGCAACTAGTCATAATTGATTTCAACAATAGAAAAAGAAAAATTCAAGACGTCATTCCAATCCAGGACCATAGTGTTTTTGTTGAAGACAGTTTTGGTGGCAAAGTTGAAAAATCTGCTCAAATTCTATAAAAATGTTATACACTACAATTGAATTTATCCTGAGTTTAACGAATTCATCAGGCACGTATCGAGAAAATAATTCAGTACATTGTGCCTTGAGCTTAGATACAGCTTTTATTTTTGAATTTTTACCAACATAATACATTTTTTAATAGTTTTACTACATACAATATCATATATAAAGAAATGAGAAGATCTGCTCTTTATATTATTTATAATTGGAGGTCACTAACTGTTTCTATCGAAGAATTATTGAACAGATAGTTAGGTATAAAGATTTTCATAATTAATTAAATTAGTTTTTTGTATTTTTCTAATCAGATTCTATTTGAAATTAAATTTTTTCTATCGAAATTTTGAAAAAACTGCTGAATGACTATCGATATTTTTATGATGGTCATGAAATTTATCAAGTTGCGTATACGACTGTAGACGATTCTAGCATTGATTATTGTTTCTTTTTATTTTTAAAACCAAGAAAAAAGAAAAGAAATAGCATGAGCAATAGTATTCTAGAAACAGAAAAAGAAACGAAATATTTCAAATAAAGAACAATAAACAATACAATGGAACACATTAAAGTGGTGCCAAAGAAGAAAAGTGATTCTTCTAATCGGTAAGCGGCAAATTAAGGGGAAAATCCTTGAAGAAAACCAATGCATGACAATTAATCAACACGATTGTCTATTTATGTTATGTTAATAAAACAAAACATAACACGTAGGATAAAATGTTTCAAATGACAATAGGAGGAACAAATTCGAAATATTTAATATTGAACCATACCACCAGCACCTATACCGGAACCTGAGGCATAGCTAGCTGTTGAAGAAGATCTTACGATACCAGTACTACTCGTTCGTTGACGAAGTTCATTGTACATTTGTTGTTCAATTTCTTCACTTTTATGAACGATTTCAAATGCTGGACGACCATAGCGACGCATTAATGCTGATTGATCAGTTTTTTGCCAAGAAGGATTAACAGCTGTATCGAGCACTTCGATTTGTGTTGGGCCATGAAGAGGTACACCTGATATTTGAGCTGATTGGTCAAGTACTTGTCGAAAAACATCTTGATTACGTTGATCAACATTAAGAGGCATTCCATTGCTTGATCCAACTAAATCTGAATATGATCCTTCAAATGTCTGACAAGTAGCGTCTTGTCCTGTAAGATGAGAAGCGGATTGGCTGTGTTGATATTGATTTTGAACATTCACATTAATAACTGGTCCTTCTGTTTGATACATGTTTCCTGTTTCATGTGTTGAAGTATTTGCGTATTGTTGTTCTTGTTGTGTAGCTAAATAATCATTATTAATAGCAGCAGGATATGAGCTTTCGGTTGCAGCTAAATTTGCATATGATCCGTGAAAATTTTCATTAATACCTTGTTGTCCTTCAAATTGAGAAACCGATTGACTATGTTGAAATTGATTCGGAACATTTACATTAATAACGGGTGCTTGTGTTTGATAGATATTCGATGTTTCGTGTGTTGAACTAGATGCATATTGATGTTCTTGTTCTGTGGGCATATAACCATAATTAACGCCACCAGCAAATTCAGGAAAACGACCTCCATACGCAACGGGTAAATTATCTCGATAAACATATTCTTCTCGAATAATTTTTGAACCACCAGTTGATGCTGCTTCTTGACCAGCACCACGAACGGGTACAGGAACAGGTCGTTCACGATCAATTATGATTGGTCGTTGTGTAACCGGCACGGGTCGATCGACAAGTACTGGTCGAGCTACATGTATTACTTGGGGACGTACGATGACACCTATAAAGGATGGGAAGAAAAATGATCTTTTTTCATTTCTTGAAAATAAAAGTCAAGTAATAACTTACGTTCACGTGGAACAAAAACAGGCTTAACGACAGGCACGTAAACATTACGTGGAATGTAAATAATATTAGCTGCGCCAGTTGATGTTTGCTGTTGGATGGCAGGAGCAGGACCAACAAAACCACCACCGAAGTGTTGTTGTGGTGCTGTGCCCTCAGCTATTTGAGAAGATAAAAATTCGTTATAGAAAATGAAAGATTTCGTTTTCTTACTTTGTCGAGGCATGTAAAAGACAGGCTGTATTGGTTGTACAATGACTCGAACTTCGCCAGTGTTAGGTTGTTGGGATTTTCCGTGACGTATTGGAGGTTCATCTGGAGTTGGAGGAATTTGAGTTTGTGTGCCACCATCACGACCAGTTGGTTGCGTATCAGTAAAGCCTGATCCTCCACGTGGTGCCATACGTCTATTCATTATTAGAAAAGGAAACAATTTAGGTACAGTTTAAACAAAAACTGAATATCTATGTATATATATATATATATATGAACACTTTACTCGATAGCATTAAGAATATCTTTACGAAATCGTTCGAAATCAAATGATGGGCCTGTTGTTGGACTATGTGAGCCGTGTCCAGGTTGTGATGGAGATCGGTGCGGAGATGTTGGACGTGATGACGTATGTTTTACAGACTTTTAAATAGAATTTTTTTATGATCGATTTTTTATTTAAATATTATTTGAAAGTTATTACTTTTGATCGCCTTTGCCACACTTCAATAATCGTTGGACGATCAGAAGCATGTTCTTCTACTTGTTCATTTTTACTAAATCAAAAAATGCAGAAAAAATATTCAATATATTATCTAGAGCTATATGAATTTACAATTGTTCTGTAACACCAGTGCCACCTGTTCTTTGATATCCATTTGTAAATCCAGCTCCACCTGGAGTACTAGTAGCACCAGTATTGGATCCAAAAATATAATCAGCGACAAACTGACATTGTGATGGAAAAGAAGCACCTGCTCCGAAATTACCAAATCCACCGCCGAGGCCTGGTCCGAAATTACCAAATCCATTGCCAGCACCAGTTAATCCAAAAGAACCAACTGATGAACAAATAAAAAGAAGAATGAATAAAATACAAATGTATGCGACTCAATACGATACCAACCTCCACCAAAACTACCAAATCCTGGTTGAGTACCACCCATAGCACCAATCGTATGTCCAGTGTATGGCAGTCCACCAGATGGGCATGGTCCACAGGAACCTGCCGTCAACATCATTTGTTGCCATCCAGGTGGACAAGGACCCATGCTTGGGGTTGGCACGGCAGGTTGAGAAATTGGAATAGATGATTGAACTACTGGAACAGATGGTTGAAGAGCTGCAGCCGAACCACGAGATCGTGAACGATATTCTTTATCAATGCCTTGAACTTCAATTGTGCCCTTATATTCAAAACCTGGGGGTGGTTCTTGTCGATGTGGGCTATGATCGCCACGTTCAATAAAGATCAAATCATCGTTAATATGACCATAACCATCAGCACCAGCTAAAGTATGACATTTTTTCTGACGTGATTGATGCGCTTGTCCAAAATTAGTTTGTTCAACATTTTGTTGGCGATGACGATGACGCCGATTTTTACTTTGAGGAGCTGGTGCACCAGCAACTTCACTTTCAGCGTCTGGTGCTGGTGAACGTGTTTTTGGTCCTTCATTGCTCATGGCACTTGTTGAACGTTGACCAATCAATTGCCTTCAATACAGATCGATTCGTAAATGTCTAATGTTTTATGTGATAAATCACATATCACTTAAACTTACTCAGGAACTCCTTGTTCTTGATCACCTTCGTGAGCATTATTTGTTTCTTCGGGCTTTTCTTGGCGACGATGTCGATGATGACGTCGATGCTGCTTAACTGGTTGACCTACAGGGCCACCAAATTGAGGAACTTGACCATAAGGGCCAGTTTGATACTGATTGGTATATCCAAAATTACCACCACTAAATTGTTGTTGCTGATGAAAGCCAGCTGCGCCACTAGCTCCAAAACCGGTGACACCATACGGGACACCGTAACCACTACCAAGAGGCATATCATTATCTATAAATGAATTATTTTGTTGCTTTCAATATAGATGTAAACTCAAATATTTACTCTGTAGGAAATTAGGTTGACCATGATCTACTTTATGTATTGACTCATCGCGGCTAACTGGTGATTCGTCCTTTCGAGCTTTATTCTTATGATGACGATGATGACGTTGAGGTTGAGGTTGTTGATGATACTGCATGGGTACTTGTTGCGTACCAAAGCCAGGTACAAGAGGAAGAGCGCCAGCATTAGCGAAGCGCGGATCAATCATTGTAAATATTCAAATATAAAAATTCAATAAAAAAAAACGCTATGAACCCAAAGACTAATCTACAACAAAAACAAAAAAGAAGAATTAAAGTGAATAAAGTATACCTAATATATTTCTTCTTGTTTTTATCATGATATTTTGTCGGATCTTTTTTTCCTATCATTTAATTATTGTATATTCAAGATCAATACTCGAAATCGTAATTTTGTGGTTTTTCGTTGTGTTTTATGTTAATGTAAGTTGCATAAAAACTAAGGAAAAAATCATTCGATGCACGCTTATGTGGTTATTAATTTACAATCTCACACTCGGTCACACGCTGATACACATAGATGTACGTAGATGGGTCGCTATTGATTGAACACAACTGCTATCATCACTATTAAGAAACAACAACGACGATGATAACGACGACGACGACGACGACGACGACGATAGTCCTCAACAATAGTGAATATATACTCCTTTATATTTATGTTCGTTTAAATTACATTGAAAAAAAGAGAGAACAGACAACGAAAATAAATGAGTGTGTGAAGTAAAAAGCGACGATAACTAAATACCCATATCCTATGCTTCATCTCAAGCGTATCGATTGTAATATGGTGGATATCAAATGAGCGGAGAAAATGGCGAGAAAAAGATACCGAGACCAAGACAAAGAGACATAAAGAGAGGTACAATGACGAAACAGATAGATTAATACTCCCTTCATTATCGCCATGACCAATAAAAAGAATAATTGAAAACTGTTCAAGTGTTTATTTAAAAGTATTGAACTTCTTATCTACGGTATACTTTTAATAGATAGGTTCTAACATATCATTATATATTTTTCGCATAATATTACCATAGCATTATCGTATACGATAACAAACGGTGCGTTTTCCAAATAGATGTTACTATATGACAAGATACTTTCTATTCAAAAATAATTGATACTTACGAACAAAAAAAATGAATCTGCCAAGATAAATATTTTGGATATCTATTGAATGAGGAAAATATTTGAATGAACAGAAAGTTATCCTTACGAAATAAATATGTATATATATATATATATATATATATATATATGTATATTAAAGTTGTACTACTACAATAGAAGTTTCGACGACAAACTTACTTATTAATTTATATTTTTTTACTGATGAACAAAAATGATGACGAAAGCATATAACTACCGTCTTACCTGCTCGTTTAATATTTTGATGACATCACGTTTTTTTAAAGATCTCAATCTTTTCATACCAAGAAAGAAAGATGACAACGATGACTCAAGAATGATAAAAATATCGTTAATACACAGAGTATTTCTAAATGAGTTGCGATATATATGATAGATGGACTCAATACGTATTATATTTTTGCACTATTCATATACGACTCATCTTTATGTTCGATGTGAGTTGGTTAAACCAGAAGAATATCTTCTCCTTGTTCAATTCTTTTCTTTTCTATACGTATGTATAACGCAGCCAAGCATAACCGATCTTTGTCTATCCTACATTTCATTTTTTTCTTTTGCTGCGTTTTTCAACGAACACCAACGAAATTGAAAGGTTAAATCGAAGTAAAAGATAAAAATACATATTGCGGTTAGGTATCTACGTGTTCAGACGACACAACTCTATTACACCACAGATCGTTGTACAATATAATTTAAAAATCATATGCAATTTTTAGTATTCTAGAAACTTGTTATCTCATTACTATATGAATCTACAAGTCAATGTAGTTATGTGTAAAAAGAAAGGAACCCCTGAAGGATAAATAATACTTAGACAAGGCTATTGGTATACATGTCAATATCTAAATAGTACAAGATAATGACGCTCATCACTTATATTTCAGGGATGATGTGATCGATAAGCGAAGGCGATTTTTTTAATGTATTTTTGTAAAATATTAAAAAATGATGCATATATATGTATATATCCTTTTTTCGAATTCGTTATCGTGACGTTTTTTTAACTGACTACCAAAGCGTTCATAGTGAAAAAAGAAATATAAGAGGAAAAAACGATAAAAGATAAAAGTTATAAAATAATTAGTAAAAATAAGCAAGATAAGAGATTGATCGATTATGTCACTCGGAGACGACTTTCATCGGTGGCTTCTTGCACAACAGGATGATCGAAATAATCAATAGGTGGTTCAATATAGACATCTTCAAAGTCATCTGTTTCATCTTCATCATCATCATCGTCCTCATCATAATCTGGACTATGAATTTCATCTTTTTTATCAATAACAGGTTCCATTTGAAATGCTACATTTTGCTTTGGTTCTGTTGTAACAGAAGGTACAACTAATTGAATATCTAATTCTCGTAAGACTTCAGCGACTTCTTGACTTGTCATACCAGCTATATCGGAGCCGGGTTTTAATTTATATTTTCGATGTTTTTCAAATAATTTTGTACTAGCTAAAATTTCAATGAATGTTCCCCAACGATGTAAAAGCATTGTAATAAATTGTATAACCATACACGAAGCAAAAAATATCATAAATAACAAGCCTAATAATTGTACTTTTGTACCTGGCTTTCCAAAAGGCCGACCGATATCAACCATTAATTCAGTAAATTTCGTTGCAACATATTCGAACTGAAATTGTAAAATAATCCAAATAGCATTAAGCATAAAGAATGCAAAACCAGCATTGTTTCTTAAATTAATTAAATCAGATTGAATACGTTGTTCTTCTTCAGCATCTTTATCAAGTGGGGATAAATATTTTGATAAGAGTTGTTGCCAAAATGTGATTTCATCTGTATGAAGATAACCAATGACTGAATCTGAACCAAGCCATGATAATTCAGACCAATAAGGATTAATCATATGATTACGAGATTTATTACATATTGATGTTGTATTTTCTGAATAATTACCATTCAAATCATTTACACTTGGAATAGTAAGTAAATCTGAACTGATTGTTTCACGAATACTCATATCTAAAAAGAGTTTCAGTTGCATAAATTAAGACATGCACATATTTCTATTTAGAAATAAAATCTTTTATCTTTCAAATAGCTCCTGATAAAATTGAAATTTCTCAGCAATTTTCCTTGTCTTCCTTTTCTATTGAAACTTCTTAAATAGTAATAATTAGTCATGTCTATTATATTAAAGTGCTAAATCCTTATTAGATACAAGTTTTCAACATAACATGAATGCTTTCAATAGATGAATAGTATCTTATTGAATGGCATAGCCAATCATTCTACTGAATATTATCGAATACATTTTAGATTTTACCATTTAGTTTTTTTGCTTCATGGCTGGAATTTTCTCGATCAAGTTTATTAATAATTTGTTGCAATAACGTTTCTTGTCGTTTAGATGTTGGTCGAAAAACATTTTCAATAACATCTCCCATTTGATGAATAAATCCACGTTGTCCATCACTACTATTACCCCAAAGCATGTCATTAAGAACATCGGCTTTTCGACGTTTTTTCGTATCTAAATTTATTTTGAATAGAAAACAAAAATCAAATCAATAAATGAACCATTTTCGATTACCTGATGTAATACTTTCTTTTTCACCTGGTTTATTTGAATTTTTCTTTTGAACAATTTCAACTGTTTCTCTTGTACCCCATGAAACAACATGTAAATTACATAGAGCATAAGTAACAAGTAAAAGATATCCACCAGGAATTGTTACAAGATAAAGAAAACCATGCATTAAATTAAACATTTCATTTGGATGAAGTAAACCAGTAACAATAAATGTTATAGCAACACTCGGTAGAAAAACAGCACTTGGATCTAAGAAACCTGATTTAAGAATTTGAGCAGCTGTTGCTACAAGTACCATCGACATAACCAATGCATAGATAGCTGAAATTTATCGAAGATTTAGACTAAAACAAAATTAAAAATATAATTTTACCAGTCATAATTGCACCAATAGCAATTTGTGTATTTGATTTTGTTTTAAGACATACAAGTATATAAAAAAGTGCTGGTAAAATTGATATTGTATATGATTCAGCAATAGTTAATGTTGAAAAAACAGTTCTTAATGCTGAAGCAATAGTCAATAGAATAGTTCCTGGTCCTAAAATTGTCGATACAAATAGAACTGCTTGATAAAACATATACAATTTCGAAATATTTTCATTAACATATGTTGTATGTTTTGTGTCTTTAAGTAAATCAATAATATTTGCCATGGTTGAAGGCATCCATCGACGACGTTGATTAAAGAATTCTTTAAATGTTTCTGGTGCATGTGTAAAAGCATCCGATGCTGCACAATATTCAACACGATAGCCTTGTTGAAGAAGAAGTGTTGTTAACCAACGATCTTCTCCTGGATTATTTTAGAAATATTAAAAAATTTTATACAGTAGAAATTTTTACCTTGATCATATTGTACATAATGTGATGCTTCAGTTGATTTGTCTGCATAACGTCGCATAACATTATCGTCCATTAAGGATGAACCACGAAAAAGTGAAAAACAGCCGGGACAACAAAGAACACTACCTAATTTATGTTCAGCAGCTTTTTGAAGCCAATGACCAACTGCATATTCGAACTGTTGATACCATACAATAGGTCCTAGAATGAAACATAATATAAATTGATTTCAAATGGAAAAATCAAATTATTCATCCTTTTTACCATCACCCGTCGGATGAATTCGACCGCAAGCAGCTGCTACTTTTGGATTTTTACGCATACGATCAACTAATAAAAGAACAGCTTCAGGTTTAAAATCAACATCTCCATCGAGAGCTAAAACAAAAGTATTTTGAGCCTAAACGTTCAAACAAAAACAAAATTGCGTTTTTCTTTTGTTTCTAAATATTTTAACATACAGCAATCTTTTTATCTTCTGATAAGCCTCTTAAAAATTGGCTGAATCCAATAAATTCTGTATCGATTCTTGTTGTATGCTGTGATACATTATGTCCACAGTGTTTTCGACGTAATAATTTAAATGAAAGTAAATAATACATATACATAACCTAAAAGAAGTTT